CTGTCGTCGTCATTATCGTCATCGTGGTCATCATTGTCGCTGTCGTCGTCATTATCGTCATCGTGGTCATCATTGTCGCTGTCGTCGTCATTATCGTCATCGTGGTCATCATTGTCGCTGTCGTTGTTGTCATTATCGTCATCGTGGTCATCATTATGGCTGTCGTTGTTGTCATTATCGTCATCGTGGTCATCATTGTCGCTGTCGTTGTTGTCATTATCGTCATCGTGGTCATCATTGTCGCTGTTGTTGCTGTCAGTCATTGTTGACATTGACGTCGTCATTGTCGTCGTTGTCATCGTTGTCCACCTACCAGTTTCTTCTCGTCGAGTGACGTCCCCGGCGTGAGAAGCTGCGAGTCGAAGAAGGAGAGGATGCCGAGGAGGCGCGGCTGCAGGAAGTTTGCCATCTGCTCGCGCGTGTGCAGGTCTCGCGCGCCCGTGTACGCCGGGTCCTTCAACGCGAGGAACTCCAGTCCTGTGTAGACCTGCACACATGCAGTAAGGGTGTCATTATACCGGTGGAAAACGTTCATACAACACACCTGCATACACGCGGGGTGATGCTAGTATAGGGTTACTGTTCATACAACTGCACACGCGAGTTAATACAGCCAAGAGTTTAAAATACAGATCTACACACACGCAGGGTGATGCTGTGGTTATATTGGTGCAAACTGTTCATACACCTGCACACGCGAGTTAATACAGCTAGCCAATAAACTGGTGCAAAATGCTCGCTAATGCAGTCATTAAATAGGTGCAAAATGTTCATACATCTGCACATGCGAGCTAACGCAGAAAATAAACCAGTTATTAACTCCAGCATACATCTGTGCACGTGTTCATGTGCAATAATGCCGAAATAATGATGTGAACACTACGGATACCTTTGCTAACCACACAAACACCAGCGATACCTTGGTTAATCACCCAAACAAACCCAAAACAAAAACGCAAGAAACAAATCAAGACACCAGTGACACCACTTCACACAATGAAAACACACCAGGTGGACAGATACAGGAGTGAGACGAGGAGCAGGGCAGTTACAATAACAACAGCACACGCCCACGACCACCACACACCGTACAGAACTATAGCTACCAGTGGCGACGTCGACATAATACACAGCATACATACCTGGTTGTAGTGCGTAGAGATGTGCAGTAACAGCTCGTTGTGCATGCGCTGGTAGTCCAGCCGCAGTAGACTACCGACCTCAATTTCCGTCTCAGACTGCACAGTAGAGGGAGCCACCATCAACGCCATCGTTATAAGTATCACGTAAGCCGTTATTACCGTTTCCCTCGTCCATCATAACTACAAACTATCCTCTCCTACTCACTGCCCACCACTTAATCCAAATTGAAAAACTCCTCCCTCTTTCTCTCTCGCATGCGCTCTCTCGCTCTCTCTCTCTCTTTCTCTTCATCTCCTACTCATTCTCTCCCCCTCTCCAGCTTTCTCTGCCTCCCTCTCATCTCCCTCTCCTCCTCCATCGCCACGGCTAGGGCGTACCTCTGTGAACCGCAGCGCGCTCTTGCGACCGACTCTGCTTCATGCAACTGCACACCAGGTAGGAGAAGATGTCTCCATTTCTCCCTCTTCCCCCCTCTCCCTCCTTCTCCCCTCTCCCTCTCTCGCTCGTACCTCTGTGAACTGCAGAGCGGTCTCTAGCTCCTGCTTCGTGCAGCTGCGCACCAGGTAGGAGAAGATGTCTCCATTTCTCCCTCTTCCCCCCTCTCCCTCCCTCCCATCCTTCTCTCCTCTCCCTCTCCCTTCGCCGCACGCGCTAGCCTACCTCTGTGAACTGCAGAGCGGTCTCTAGCTCCTGCTTCGTGCAGCTGCGCACCAGGTAGGAGAAGATGTACTTGAAGTGGTTGATGAACATCGTGCGGCGGCTGACGCCAAGCGTGCGCGCAATAGCGCGCGTCGCCGCCGCCGCCGTCGTCGACGCCTTGCGCACGAGCACCGGCAGAATGTACTGCAGGTTCTGTAAGCACACACACAGAGGTAAAGGCAGACTGCAGGTTCTGTACGCACACACACAGAGGTAAAGGCAGAATGTACTGCAGGTTCTGTAAGCACACACACAGAGGTAAAGGCAGAATGTACTGCAGGTTCTGTAAGTGTAAGCACACACAGAGGTAAAGGCAGAATGTACTGCAGGTTCTGTAAGCACACACACAGAGGTAAAGGCAGAATGTACTGCAGGTTCTGTAAGCACACACACAGAGGTAAAGGCAGAATGTACTGCAGGTTCTGTAAGTGTAAGCACACACAGAGGTAAAGGCAGAATGTACTGCAGGTTCTCAAAGGTTATGTGAAGCATGGCATTAGTGGGCTGGAGGAAGACAGGGTGAGAATAAGGAGGGGGAGAGGGCAGAGAGAGAGAGAGAGAGAGAGCAAGACACAGACAGGAGGTAGAGACCGAATGTACTGCTGCAGGTTCTGAAAACATGCGAACAGGTTTAGAGACAGGATGTACTGCGGGTTTTGAAAGGGGGAAATACGTCGGCTGGAAAATTTATGAACCACCGACTGCTCCCTACGCTACCTGTGTGAGAAACGTCTGGCGATCCTTGTAGCCGAACACCCCCTGTACCTTCTCCAGTATGTCGATCGGTTGCAGAGGGCTCTGCTTGCTGGCCTCAGAGTGAATCATCTCACCAAGAAACTGGCAGCGACGAAAAAATTAACGCTCGCCGAGTCGCCCACGAGGCGAGTAAAAACATAGCGTTCAGGCCCCGGAATTTTTTGTCAGAAGGTATTTGCTTTGAATCTTCATGCTCATAACGCATAGATAATTTGACACCATGTGAGCGTGAATTTCTGAGAACACGAATCGTAAACTTTGTGGCAGATCATGCAGTAAGCTGCTCCCCTAATTCTTAACCCCTTAAATCCGCACTATGCGCATTCAAACGCTAATTTCTCCAGTACTAGACTAGCAAATACTTCGTGTCATGCATAATCACACTACCTTATGACAAAATAAACTCTAGTTCCTCCCATTTCACTGCGCGTTGTCTTATAAAAAGCATTTGAAAATACCTCCAATGTTGTTCAAATTCTACGATGTTGTTGACACTTTCACGTTGCTCTGCCAAGCAACCGTGGAGCGGTACTGCGGTACAGCGGTACGGGTGTAGCAAAGATAAAAACATGTGACGTCACCTAACCGATTCTTGATGAAATTGTTTGGCAAACAATTTAGCGTTGGCGCCAGATTACCAGATTTCGCACCTCTTTCTTGTGGGTTTTAAGCAAACGCGCACTGAAATGGGAGGAACAAGAGTTTATTTTGCCATAAGGTAGTGTGATTATGCATGACACGAAGTATTTGCTAGTCTAGTACTGGAGAAATTAGCGTTTGGATGCGCATAGTGCGGCTTTAATAATGTTACTTTGGTGGGCTCAGGTGGCTACCACGGTTTTCGCGGCCGACAAGAATGGCAGTAATGCGCGACAGCTCATGACAACACAGGACGGCGTGCGATGGCGATACGCCACCGAACATGAGCAATGCTTTTAAGAGATTCAAACATTTGACAGAACACGTCGACGAAACCCCCAAAAAAACGAAACAATAATTTCGAATTCGCCGAATTTCGAACACCGACTCAATCCCATCAAATCCCATGCAAACTACAGTCGTGCGCAGTCGAGCCATAATAAAAATATTGTTTGTTTGCCCTCACCCGACCGACCCGCCAAAAAAGAACCGACTTAAAAAAATCTATTAATCTTTTAATTATTTTTATTTTTTTAAACAAATTGTATCACTGTACATTATATCAATCTGTAGGCAATACATTATATGTACCAAGCAAAACAAACATTCAACATAAAAGGTATCTCCACACAAGCACACCCCTTTTGTAAAAAGACCCCCGCCCTCAAAAATAAGAAAGCCGACCTACCTACCCAAACTTTTCAGCCTGGGTCGGGTGAGGGCAAACAAAGATTTTTTTAATTGTGGCCTCGTCATGCTAAAACACGGCGCTACATCACTCACGCTGCCAATGTCCTGCTTGAGGCGATTGAAGAGCTCGAGTAAGGTCACACCCTGACCTTTGGCAACCTCGCGCATCTGCAGCTGGGCGGTGGCGGCGACCTGACCGTCGTTAAGGAGGATGCTCTCGAGGAGGCTGATGATGACGACGAGCAGCAGGTCCCTGCCTGCCACCCTGCACGCACAGGCGCGTGCGAGAGAGAGAGAGAGAGATGCTCATTGCTACGTTACTACCTCTTTCCTCCTCTCTCTCGCTGTCGCTCCTGCTCTCGCTCTCTCGCTCTCTCGCTCGTCTCTCGGGCACGGTTGACACCCCACCATGCTCTCTCTCCTTTTTCTCTCTGCTCTCACTGCTCTAAGATGCTCTCGCACTTTCCTCTGTTCTTTCTTGCTCTCTGTGGCTCTCCCTGCGTCTCGCCCTGTTCTCGCTCTTTGCTCGCCCATAGCTGGCTTCTCTCGGCCACTGCATTTTATCACGCCCTCGCATCACTCGTCCGCTGACGTTTTTCTGTATTGCTGCCAAACTGTGCGTCTTCCCCAGCCGACTGCCTGCCCGCCCTGCCCCTCCTCTCTTAGACGCAACCAAGCCCCTCCCTATCACTATGCAACAGGATCAAGCCGCCATACTGCCTGCAAGTGAGCCCACTGCCTAAGTTACGTTACCCATCTTTGCCGTATCTACTTCCACCATCACCTCGTCCCGTACGCCTCGTTAATGTCGGCCTCCTCCTCCTCATGCCCTCCCTACCGCCGCGCCGCGTAGCAACAACACTGTACCGGCTGCTTATGTCGGGCGCGGGCGGGTGGCTCCTTCCTCACGATGCCTCCTGGCTCCGCCAGACAACGCTGTATTCTATAATTGTCCAGCCCCTCTCCTGCCCACAAACACTGTATCTCCTCTATGGTCGGCGCCCGTCCTCTCTCCCTGCATGCCCCTCTTCCCCCCCAGCCACAACCAGCTGTAACGTCTTACTGTCGCCCTCCTCCTCCCTCACCCTCTCCGCCCAGCAATGCAACATCTGTACGCGTCTTATCGCGTCGGCGCCCGCTTCTCCTCTGCACTCCCTCGCCCCCAGCAACAAACTGGTACTCTTAATGTCGGCTCTTCTCCTCCCTCCACTCGGCCGCCTCCTCCCGCCCAGCAACCTGCACCTCTTAGTGTCGGCCTCCTCTCTCCTCACGCCATCCTCCACCCCAGCAACGGCTGTACTTATGTCGCGGCCCGGTCCTCGCCTGCCCTTTCGACCCCTCCTCCACCGCGTGGCCGGGATCGAGCACGCTGATACTCTTATGTTTCGGCCGCCTGCGTCCTTCCCTCACGCCCGGTCCTACCGCCAGCAACAACACTTGGTACTCATTGATGTCGGGGGCACGCCTCGCTCCTCGCTCACGGCCCTCCTCCGCCCCGAGCAATCAACACTGTAGCCGTCTTATGTCACCCTCCTCCCCGCCTCCGTCGTCACCGCGTCCTGTGCCCCCCAGAACAACACTGTGGGCTCTTTATGTCGGCCCCGTGCGTGCCTCCTCACCCCTGGCCTCCCTCCCAGGACCAATCACTGTACTCTCTTAGTGTCCGCCCGTCGCTCCTCCTCACGACGGCCGCCTCCCTCGCCAGCAACAACGACTGGGAACCTTCGTGTATGGTCGACCCGGGTCCTCCTTGCACCCCCTGTCCTGCCCCCAGCAACCTGTATCTTATGTCAGGCTCTCGCTCTCCTCCCAGCAAACCACTGTATCCTCTTATAGTCGGCCCGTGTCTGCCCTCCCTCATGGGCCCTCATCCTCCTCCCCCCACGCAACAACACCTGGCTCACGTCTTTATGTCGGCCCCTCCTCCTCCCCCTCAGCCTCCTCCCCCCAGCAACAACACTGTTACGTCATTATGTCGGCCCCTTCTCCCTGCCGCTCACGCCCTCCTCCCCCCCAGCAACAACGTACCTTTATGTCGGACGCCCGTCCTCACTCGCCTCACCCGGTCCTACCCCAGGCAACACACGACTGTACTCTTATGTCGGCCCCGGTTCCTTCCTCCTCACCCGTCGCTCCGCCCAGGCAAGCACTTGGCGCACCTCTTATGTCGGCCCCTCCTCCCTTTCCTCACACCCTCCCTCCACCCAGCAACTGTACCCTCTTATGTCGGCCCCGTCTCCTCCCTCATCCGCTCTCCGACCGCCAGCAACAACTGATACCTCTTATGTCCGGCCCTCTCCTCCCGTCAGTCCTCCTACCCAGCAAAACACCTGTACCTCTATGTCAGCCCTCCTCCTCCCTCACCCGCTCCTAATCGCTCGTCCCCGCAGCAGACACACTGTACCTCTTATTTTGTCGGCCCCGGTCTCCTGCCCTCACCCCTCCTCCCCCAGCAACATACACTGACCGTCCTTATGTGCCGCCGGTCTCCGTCCCTCACCCTCCTCCCAGCAACGACATCTGCCGGCACCCTTATGTCGGCCGTCCTGCCTCCTCCCTCACCCCTCTACGCGGCCAGCAACAACACATGTACGTCTTGATGTCGGCCCGAATCCTCCCCCCTCAGCGCCTGCTGCCCCCAGCAAAACACTGTACATTTTAATGTCGCGCGCGCCCCCCCTCCTTCCCTCACGGGCCGCTCCTGGACCCCAGCAACAACACTGGCACCTCTTATTGTCGGCCTCCTCTCTCACGCCCTCCTCCCCCAGCAACGCTGTACTCGCTTATGTCGGCCCCTCCCTCCTCGCGCTCACCCTCCTCGCCCCCCAGCAACCTGTACCTCTTATGTCGGCGCCGGTCTCCTCCCTTCACCCATCTACCCCCAGGCAAGATACAACAGCTGTAGGCCGTCTTATGTCCGGCCCGATCCTCCTCGCCGTCACCCCTCTCGCCCCAGACACAACACGTTACACCGTCTCTATGTCCCCGTCGCTCCTCCTTAGCCCTCCTGCCGCCCAGCAACATCACTGTAACCGCCTTTATGTCGGCCCCTCGGCTGGATCCCTCGCCCCCTCCTCACCGCCGCAGCAACCTGTACCTCTTATGTCGGCCCCTCCAGCCTCCTGCCCTCACCCTCCTACACCAGCGCCACGTAACACTGTACCATCTCTATCGTTGGCCCCTCCTGCCCTCACCGCTACCTCCGCCGCACAGCAGACAACACTTGTACGCTCATTATGTCGCCCCGTTCCCCTCCCTGTACCCTCCTCCTCAGCAAGCATCGGACTGGACCGTCTTATGTCGGCCGCGCTCCCTCATGTCCTCCCCTCCTCCCGGCCCAGCAACCTTCTCTGTATGTCCGGCCCGCTCCTCCTCCCTCACCTCCTAAACCCACGCAACAGACACGTGTAGGCCGTCTTATGTTGGCCTCCTCCTCACGCCGCTCTCCCCGCTAGCACATCACTGTACCGGTCTTATGGTCAGCCCCTCGCTCCTCCTCAGCGCCCTCCTCCCAGACTGCCAGCAACACACTGTACTCTTATGTCGGGGCCTCCCTCGCTCTCCGCTCACCCGTTCCTCCCCGTAGCAACAGACATGTACCGGTCTTATGGTCGGCCCTCCGTCCTGCGCCTCCCCCGTCCTGCCCCAGCAACAACACTGGTACCTCTTTATGTCGCCCTCGTCTCCTGCGCCTCATCCCTCCTCCCCCGACAACAACACACTGTAGGCGCTGGCGTTTATGTCGGCCTCGTTCTCGCTCCATCACGCTCCTGCCCCCTATGCAACACTGTACCCTGTCTTATGCGGGCCCGTCCTCGCTCCCTCACTCCTCCTCCCCCCAGCAACAACACGGCACCTCTGATGGTCGGCCCGTCCTCTCCCCTCACGCTCCTCCTCCACCCGCAACCTGTACTCTTATGTTCGGCGCCCTCCCTCCTCCGTCCGCCCTCCTCCACCGCAGCAAGCTGTGACCTGATTTATGCTGGGGGCCCGTCCTCTCCGTCCTCACCCCTGCCTACCCCAGCATAACACCCTGTACGCTCTTATGGTCGGCCCCTCTGCCGCCTCACCCCGTGCCTCCCCCAGCAGAGCAAAAGGCTGTACGCTGCTTAATGTCAGACCACTGCCTGCCTCCTCAACCCGTCCTCCCCCAGAACAAGCACTCGTGCCTCGCTTAATGTCGGCCCCGGGTCCTCCTCGCCCTCCCCCCTCCTCCCCAGCGACACAACACTGTACCTCCTTGATAGTCGGGCCCCTCCTCTTCCGCTCACCCCTCCTCCGCCCAGCAACAACACTGTAACCTCTTATGTCCGAGCCGGTCGCTCCTCTCTCACCTCCTCCCCCCAAGCAAACTCTGTATCTCTTATCGTCAGCGGCCGCTCCGGTCCTCCCAGCAACCTGGTATCTCTTATGCTCGGCGCCCTCCTCCTCCCTGCATCCCTCATCCCGCTCCCTCCCCGGCCAGCACAACACTGGTAAGTGTATGTCGGCCCCTCTCCTCCCTCCGCACCCTTGCCTCCGCGCCCAGCGAACGAGCACAACACTGTAGCGCTCTTATGTCGGCCCCTTTCCTCCCTCACCGCTCCTCCCCGCCAGCACGAAACTTGTACCGTGCTTTGTCGACCGCCGGGTCCTCTCCTCACCCTCCTGAACCCGCGGGCCCAGCAAGCAACACATGTACCGTCTTATAGTCGGCGCCGTCCTCCTCCCTGACTCCTCCTCCCCCAGCAACCTGCAGCCTCTTTATGTCGGTGCCCGCTCCCTTCCTCAACCCCTCCTCGCACCCAGCACCCTGTACCTCTTATGTCGGCCCGTCCTCCTTCCCTCACCCCTCCTCTCACCCGCAACCAATGTACCTCGTTATGTCGGGCGACCTCCTGGCGCCTCCCTGCGACGTCGCTCCTAACCCGTCCAGCAACAAGCGACTGGTGACCGTCTTATGACTCGAGCCCCTCCTCTGCCCTCACCCCCGTCCTAGATCTATCCCAAGCAACACACACGTCGCGGGGCGCCGGGTGCGGCGGCCGGCACTGTTACTTCTTGATGTCGGCCCCTCTTCCTAGCCCATCACCCCCGATGCGTGCCCCAGAGCAACAATCACCTGTACGTCTTATTGGCGAGTCCCGCCCCTCACACGTCCTCCCCCAGCACAACAGCTGTACCTTTTATGTCGCCGCCCCCCCTCCGGCCGCCTCACGCTCCTGCCTACGGCGCACCAGCAACAACACTGGCACCTCTTATGTTTGTTCCCCCGGGTCCTCGCCCTGGCGGCCCTCGCATGGCCTCGTGCGGGCCCGTGTGCGGCCGGGCCGCGAGGACGCTTGTCACCTCGTGTATGCCTCGCCGCGCCTCTCGCGCTCGCTCGGCTACGTCGTCTGCTCGCGCGGCGGAGAGCGGCCTGGGTTAGGCGGGCGCTCTGCGTTCGAGTGGCTCTGGGCCTGGCTGCGGTCGAGGACATCATACCAGCAACAACACTGGTCCTCGGTGCTTATGCGGCCCTCCTCCTCCCTCACCCCTGCCTCCCCCTCTCAGCAGCCACCACTGTACGTCTTATGATCGGCCCCTCCTCCTCCTTACGCCCTCCCCCCCAGCAACCATCAACTGTACTCTTATGTCGCCATCCTTCCTCATCCTCCCCCTCTCCCCAGCAACTGTTAGCTCTTATGTCGGCCCCTCCTCCTCCGCTCACACCCTCCTACCACCCAGCAACAACACTGTACCGTTTATGTTGGCCGACATTCCTCCTCACCCCATCTCCGCCCACGCAACAACACTGTACCTCTTATGTCGGCCCCCTCCTCCTCCCTTACCCTCTCCCGCTCCCAGTCAACTCACTGTCGCTCTTATGTCGGCCCCTCCTCATGCCTCGCGCGCGCCTCCTCCCCCCAGCAACCTGTACCTGCTTATGTCGGCCCCTCCTCTCCCGTCACGCCTCTACACCCAGCAACAAACACTGTAACCTCTTATGTTGGCCCCTCCTCGCCTCACCCGTCCCTCCCCGCCAGCAAATCACTGTACCCTCTTCATGTCAGGCCCCTCCTGCTCCCTCACCCCTCCCTCCTCCCCCAGCAACAACACTGTACCTCTTATGTCGTCTCTCCTCTCTCGCTTCACCCTCTCTCCCCCTAGCAACAACACTGTTACCTCTTATGTCGCCCCTCCCTCCCTCACCCTCTCCCCAGCACCAACACTGTACTCCTCTTATGTCGGCCCCTCCTCCTCCCTCATCCCTCCTCCCCCCAGCAACAACACTGTACCTCTTATGTCGGCCCCTCCTCCTCCCTCATCCCTCCTAACCCCAGCAAACCTGTTACCTCTTATGTCGGCCCCTTCCTCCTCCCTCTCCCTCCTCTCCCAGCAAAACACCTGTACCTGCTTATGTCTGCCCCTTCTCTCCCTCACCCCCTCCTCCCCCAGCAACAAACACTGTACCTCTTATGTCGGCCCCTCCTCCTCCCTCACCCCTCCTCCCCCCAGCAACCTGTACCTCTTATGTCGGCCCCTCCTCCTCCCTCACCCCTCCTCCCCCAGCAACCTGCTATCTCTTATTGTCGGCCCCTCCTGCCCTCCCTCACCCTCCTCCCCCAGCAACCTGTACCTCTTTATGTCGCCCTCTACCTTCCCTCACCCCTGCCTACCGCCGAGCAACAACACTGCTACCTCTATATGATCAGCCCTCCTCCTCCCTCACCCCTCCTCCCACCAGCAACCTGTACCCTCTTATGATTCAGCCCCTCCCCTCCCACGCAACACTCGCTGTTCCTGCTTATGTCGGCCCCTCCTGCGCTCCCTCACACCCTCCTACCCCAGCAACAACACTGTACCTCGATATGTCGCCCCTCCTTCTCCCTCGACCCCGTCCTCCCCCAGCAACAACCCTGTACCTCTATTGTCGCGCCCCTGCCTTCCTTCCTCAACCCCTCTCCCCCAGCAAAACACACCTGTCCTCTTATGTCGGCCCCTCCCCTCCCTCACCCCTCCTCCCCCAAGCAACCTTGTATCTCTTTATGTCGCCCTCCTCTTCCCTCACCCCCCTCCCCCCCAGCAACAACACTGTAGCCTCTTATGTCGGCCCCTCTCCTCCTCACCCCCCTCTCCCCCAGACAACAACCACTGTACCTCTTATGTAGCCCCTCCTCCTCCCCACCACCTCCTCCGCCCCAGCAACCTGTTCTCTCTATGTCGGCCTCCTCCTCCTCACCCTCCTCCCCAGCACAACACTGATACCTCTTAATCAGCCCCTCCTTCGCCTCACCCCTCCTCCCTCCCCAGCAACAACACTGTACCGCTTTAAGTCGGCCCTCCTCCTCCCTCACCCCTCCTCCCCCAGCCAACACAACGTGTCCTGCTTATGGTCGGCCCCTCTCTCCTCCCTCACGCCCTCGCTCCCCCCAGCAACCTGTATCTCTTATGTGCGGCCCTCCTCCTCCTCACCCTCCTCTCCCAGCAACAACACTGTACCTCTTATGTCAGCCCCTCTCCTCCCTCACTCGCCTCCTCACCCCAGCGACAACACTACGGCGCGACGTCACCTTTACCTGCGAGGTGACCCATGGCTGAGGTGACCGTCGCTGCAGCGACTTGCGCTGGCCGACACGTAGACGGGACTTGAGACGAGCCGAGGCATGGTGCTCTCTACGTGTCGGCGCGTAGCTCGCCTCGTCGCTGGCCGCAGAACAGCAGGCTCGCGATCCCTCTGCTTGTGAGCGACAAACAGAAAACGCTCGCGTTATCGTAGCGGGCGGACGGTTCATCGACGGTATCGATTGATAAAAACTAGCGACACACGTATCGACGCGTTCTGCCTTTCACGGCACGCGTACCGACGCGTTCTGCCGTTCACGCACGCGTCCGCGACGAGCTCTCTGCCGTTCACGGCACGCGTAGCCCGATTGCGTTTCTGGCCATTCACGGCACGCGGTTCGCACGCGTTCTGCGTTCACGGCACGACGTACGACGCGTTCTGCCGTTCACAGGCACGCGTACCGACGACTCTGCCGTTCACGGCACTGCGATACGATGGCAGTTCTGGCCTATCAACGGCACGCGGTTCCGACGCGATTCTCTACGTTCAGGCACCCGTTCCGAGCGTTCTGCCTTCAGCGGCGCACGCGTTCCGACGCGTTCGCACGCGTGTCTACCGTTCACAGGCACGCGTACCGACGCGTTCTGCCGTTGCATGCACGTGTACCTGACGCGTTCCGACGCTTCTAAACGTTCACGCAGGCCGTGTACCGACGCGTTCTGTGCGCTCACGGCACGCGTCTCTCGACGCGTTCTGACATTCACGGCACGCGTTCGACGCGTTCTGCTGTTCATGGCACGCGTTCCGACGCGTTTCTGCTGTTCAGCGCATGCGTTCCGACGCGCTCGCTGTTTCACGGCACGGGTGGATCCTATCATTACTGTATCGTACCACCCCTAACCGCCATGCAGAACGAACCCTACCTAGGTCGGTACTTGCAAATGGGGCAGAGGAGAGATAGTAGCAGAAGGTTGGACGCGTTTTACATTTACAGAAGCGTACGTACTGAACGCTGCTGACGTTTTGTTCGATCGCCGATCATCCGAAGGCACGTGTCAACGATGCTTCATCCACCAGGAGTCGCACCCCTCACGTGCGCAAACACGTTCCGAGCGAATGATGAAGCTATGAAATGAGGTCGCACACTCGTCGTTTTCACTCATTCGCCGTCATAACACATATTACAGCGTTTCTACTATTTTCACACTTCACTTATAACATGTTATACATTATACATTATAATACATTCCACTGTAATTCCACTCACTAATACATCTTTACACTTCACTGAAATTTAATAATAATCTACATTATATTTTTCTTTAAATAAAATGAGTTTTTTTTAATTTCTTTCAGATACGTTCTATATATTATTACAGTTAAAAATAAAACTCATCACAACTAGATAAAACTTCAGCTCAAAGAGCACATGCACGTGCACAATCGCATGCAGGTTTCAACACCACCACCCCCACCACCACCATCCCACCCATAACCCCCCCCCCCAACCACATCCTCACCCAGTTTGATATCAGCAACAAAGCTCGACAGCAGGGTGAAGAGGGGAGCGACGACATCTAGATCGACGAGTTGTGTCCTTGTCTCTGTCTCCTCCGCTCCCGCCGCCGGGAGTCGCGCGCGGGGAGCCGGCCCACGTCGCCGTCGCCGCATGAGTCGCACCGCAACGCCATCTGTAGGCACAGCGGTGAAACGAACGCTGGCGTTCCTGGCCTGTCGCATACGATAAATCACAGCCGTTACACAAGCAGAAGAAATAACCGTGTTTATATTTCATATATATATATATATAATTATAATATAAATATATATATAAATTAGTAATATATATATATATATTATATAATATATATATATATATATATATTATATATATATATATATATAATATATATAAATATATATATATATTATATTTGTTATTTATTTGCATTTAAATTTGTTATTTATTTACATTTAAATTTATGTTATTTATTTACATTTATATTTATATTATATATTCATATTTATGCACTGAATTTAGTCAGGGAGTGCTGGAAAATTAATACTAATAGACAAATTACTGACAATTTAGTGCAAGGAGCACTTTTTTGTGAACCATGTAGGTGTACTAGTGTAGGTGTACTACAGCAAGTACCAAAGGCATAATTGGCTGAATCGTGACCGATGTTTCATCTACTAAATGAGTGCAAAATCAGAAAACATTTTCTAACACCGAGCGAGCGAACTCCGTAACGTTAGACAACAAATGTATAGTAACCTGACGAAACGAGATGTGCCTGCCATCACACAGACGGTTCTGCCAATCATCTCAGCCAATGCAATCTGCACCTTCTTGTCAGAATCTTCGACCCGTGGACTAAAAAGAAAACGTGCAGCCTGATAAAGTTTGCATAGATAGCCGTTCGACCGCATAATATGCGTGCCCACGACAGATTGCAAACAAAATCATGTTGCAGGTTGTGTCAATATATAAACTTGTGTACGCGCACGCATAGAATCTATCTATATCAGGTAAATATTTTTCAATTCACATAGCAAGTTTTACCTGCCACGCCTATGCTCACGTATAAATAACTTGACTTACAACAGGGTTAGTTAGTTAGTTAGTTAGTTAGTTAGTTAGTTAGTCAATTAGTTAGTTAGTTAGTTAGTTAGTTAGTTAGTTAGTTAGTTAGTTAGTTGAGATCTCAACCTGATTTGATGTATGATCTAGTCATCATACAAAGTTACAAACATCCTTAGCATGATGCACGCAAGCGAATGACAATGCCAAAGTAAAAAATTACTCCTCTGGGGGAAGCTTACTGGAGAAGGTCGAAGACAAGGTGGTGAGATGCGTTGCCATGGCGCTGCAGCAGACTGGTCACACCCCTGGTTGCCGCGGCGCGAAGCTCGCTGCTGCCGTCGCTCTGTAATTAACGCACCCAATCGTGATGTTGAGCCAATAGCACGTGAAATAACTCAAAAGCAGAAACGCAGCCATTGCGTTAAATGTTTCGGACCGTGTCGACGATCGATCAGCACTCAATCTACATCCGTAATAAAATTCACATCCCTCTTGCTCCATGTCCTCCGGCCCAGGATGCCTCCCGTATCTTGAGAGAAACGTATAACCCTGCAGACTGGGCTTCGAAATCTTCTCCCATTAATAACAAATCTTCGCGCATAATCTGGCGCGTCGTCGGAACAAAGAACAAAAGAGGAACGTTCCGGGACGGGAACAATGTAGAGCGGTACAAAGGAATCTCACCATGGCGACACGCAGCACGTGCGTCCTCCATCCGGGCGCGACGTCACGAGGAAGCTGAGCCATCATTGACAGGCAGTTGCACCGCACACTCACATCTGCAGAAGACAGTCAATTTCAAACATAGGGGAATACAGAGCAGAAGGCAGCTCAGCTATGTGTGAACAAGGTAGCAATCCATATAGTTACAAGCGGCTCAATGATAGCAAGAAATATGCCAAATAACTGTTATCACAAACTCGATTAAGTTCTGTAATCTGAATATAAACTCCAGTCACACCAGCATATAAGGGCCACTCAAGGGAAATGAGAAAAATGGCCTTTATGGACAGGTGGACATTCCATAGAGGTGGTTTCTCTGTATAACTATCACTCTAGGGAAATGCCGAAAGCCTTGGTGGTAGCCACCAAAAGTGGTCATTCTAGAGATGTAGTTGCTAACAAAAGCTTGTCCGTAATCCAATTCTATAATCGCACACATTCACAAATTTTTCCAGATCTATCTTCGCTCACCGATCAGAGGAGTTAGCTTGGCACTGGTGGCTCCAACCTCACTCGCATTCCCAAGTCTTAGGTCCACCCAGGATGTCTCGTTCTACAGACAATACAACGAATTTCATGCAACAATAAACATATAATTAGCTACAAGGTAAATGAGAGTAGTAATAATGAATTTACACATATTATGCACGTCTTTTTACGTTTTTTAATACAAAATGCTCTGCATACAATTGCTATAGCATAGTTCTTAGTGTCAATTTAAACTACATCCACAACTACAAGCAGATATATGTAAAATTCATAAAAAATGTCATGCCATAAAATACAGAAAATCGCTTACATACATACCTTAGTCTCGACTAGTTTGCACATAGATCAACTCGACAATACATCTAGGAATTGAGCCAAGCTTCATAAACTTGGACACATACACTTAAGAATAAATTACATAAGACACAATACTCACACTTAACCAAGGCAGCGATGCTATCCATGTGAACACCTGAAGCTGGTCCATCTCCACGGAGACCAAATCTATAAAACATACAAAGACCAAATGACGGCATAGGAAAGGGGTTCGCTTCTTTACCGGTGCAGATGGCGCCAGCATACAGGTGTAATGTACAAACGTAGGGGAGACATGGCGCGCGAAACTTACTACATGTAATCGCATTAGACATGTATGAACCTCGAAAGTCGGTTCTCACGTAACAAAATACGAAAAGTGTGGGTTCGCACCTGTGACGTAGAGCAGAGCGCCGACCAATCGCAGTGCAGTGCTGTATGCGCTAACGGCCACCTCCGGTGGTTGGCTGCTGGCTGCACGGCATACGACGGATGCGCAGAGCTCTACTATCGCGGCGAGGCTACGACTCGGCATCCACGACTCCCACGTCGTCCGAGATTCGCTCCGATGCGTCGCCATGGAAACGACCACGACCTCGACGAGGACGCATATCCCTTCGAAGGTGCGGGTCGGAAAAGGCTGCGTCTGGACGTTGAAAAATTTAAGTTGGCAAGTTTTCTGAACCTTGCCTCGCTTACATCTTCACGCACTATCTGGTTGTGAATTCAACTGACCATGCTGAGCAGTTCAGTCAAAGTATCTTATTCGTGTTGCAAATGGCAGCCCATCGTCCCTCCAGGTCTGGAACAGCTAACTTTGGAGTGGGAATGGCCAATTTTTATGGATATTGCTATAGATTCAACAGTTAGTTAAATCCTTCCCGCGCCTATATGGCAGATAGGGCGGTGCCTATCTCCGTTTCAGTAACCCTGAGGCCCCGCAGCTGCTTTCACAGTAAATGCTACAGTAGGGAGTTAGTCCACTGTTAGCACTGCGAGTTAACTTGCCACACTATATCTATTTGCTGAATGCTAAGCAGAGAAGCCGTGTGTACCATTTTTCAAGTCTTTGGTATGGCCCGGCCGGGAGTTGAACCCCTGACCTTCCACATGCGAGGCGAGCAAGAAAGATTCAACAGAAGAAATCAAAATTTTCGAAAAACGTGACCGACCGGATTTTCGGACCCGTACTGAGAATCTCTCTGACGTTAAGCTTTGCATTTCCTTTCTACCACAACAATACCACGAAATACTCACTGAATTCTCGCTCGATTAATTATTATTCTATCAATTCCCTCCCCCCCCACGCTTCACTAATTTTTCCTCCGACGATAACGAGATTACCTCGTCTTGCAATGCCGACTCTAGAGTATCGACGAGCTGCTTCATCTGTTCATCGATGCTGGAGAGAACCTCCGAGATGCTCGAATACCTGGGAATCGCTGGGCCGGCTTCAGAACCCGCCGCTGCCGCTACAGCATCGGCACTGCAACACAGAGCGACACTGCAACTGTACCAGCACGCAAGGTAAAAAAATACACGGGAGCGATGAGCGATTCGCTCTTCAAACCTCCGAAATCACTCCCGTGAGGCTCAAAATAGCTCCCGTAAAATGTTTGGCGAGAGCTATTTTTTCCAGACTTCCCGTGAAAAAGAGCTCCCGTAAAAAAAAGTTATTTTTTCCCTGCCAGCGCGGCACAGAACGGCTGCGATCACGACCGTGGGTTTACGTTAGCACTACGCGCGCACCTCAAATGGCGTTACTCAAAATTCGGATTGCTTTCTCGCGTCGAACGGTGGTCCCGTGGAAGGAGAAGTTCTTCTTCCCTCTCTGCCAAAAAGCTCGTGCAGATGAGTAGCACAATCTGCTTAATTTCCACCCCCCATCCACATAACCCTATCGTACGTTGAACTAACGTGGAATCGTTCTTTTTTAACAAGATATTACCTTCAAGGATATAACTTACATCTATATACAGACACGTAGAGGACATAGCTTATATTACGAGTATCAAGTATAGATAGGGTTGAACATTCGAGGTAGAGGACAGACGAGGGTGGGACAGTTCCCCTGTTTTGACGTTTACCCGGTATCTATATATCGGCACACAGAGGACATAGCTTATATTATGAGCTTTGAGTAGATATAGATACATAGATACGGAGAATCATTCGAGGTAGTGGACAGACGAGCGTGGACCGTTCGCTTGTTTCAAAGTTTACCTGGTATCGGGGACGACGTCGGATCGACCGCCGCCCGATCTCTGCAGCAGCCTCCTGCGTTTCTCCGGCGGCCCGTCCCTGCTGCCGTCGGTGTCCGAGGACTCGCGAGCGGTGGCGCCCCCTGGCTTCCCGGCGATGGAAGTCGTCTGCGCGGCAGGCCTGACTCTGCAGCGCTGCCACTGCCCCGCGAGATCCTCCCAGACGCTCTGCACGAGGCAGGCCTGCACCTGCAGAACGCAAAGCACGCAGATTTTGTGTCATGGGTCGAAATCCTAATGGGCCCGCGGGCCCGATCCCCATATTTTAAGGCTCAGGCCTAACATTTCTAATACTAGCAAGCCCGACGGGCTCGTAGAAAATCCACCCCCAGCATGCAAAACTGTCCCCAGCCTGTAGAATTTGCCTGGCAGGCCTGTAAAATCCCTTACCTACAGGCCCGGCTGGCCTGTAAATTGTCAAACTAATTTCTACCCCTGTGTGAGATCCAAAATCTGGATAAACATGGTGGTTTTCGGCTTAAAAACCACCCTACCTCCCCGCTCCATCACACAGATGGTTTTGCCAATGATCTCAGCCAATGCAATCTGCACCTTCTTGTCAAAATCTTCAACTCGTGTGCTTTAGATGCTTTTTTCCCAGGAGACAGCGAAAGGGAAGAGAAAGAAGGAGAGAGGGAGGTGGAGAGATGATAATTGTTTGCTGCCGACGTCGCTTCACGTCTCGTTTCGCGGAAAACGTACCCAACCTCACGCGAGAGCGCGGTTCGACTTCTGCGAGAATAACCGTTTTGAGCAAACGCTTCTATCTCGATTATTTTCGTCTGTTCCCAGGTACCAAAACGTGGATACACATGGTGCTTTCCTGCTAAAGAACCCCCCTACTTCCCCTCCATCTCACACCGATTTAAGCAAAAAAGATAGAAATATAAAGAGAGAGAGAGAGAGAGAGAAAGAGAGAGAGAGAGAGAGAGAGAGAGAGAGAGAGAGAG